GGATTGCTAGGTTCTCTTGCAATTGTGATAGCCCCTTAGTTTTTGTTTGGATTCATTTAAGTCTTCATGGAATAAGCGTTTATGTCTTTTTTACTTAAATTCATAAAATAAAAATTGAAATAGGAGGAAGAGGTGGGTACCCTAGTAGTTTAAAGATTTGCTTCATTAACCCTTCTTTAGAGGGTCAGGGCTTTTTTGAAAAGCATGTTCCTTTTATCACAGTGGTTCTGAGGATGAATTATTATTATTCTCTGCCCTAGCCAGATTTGTGAAGAAGTTGGAGCAACTGGATGAAAATGGTGGATATTCTTTCAGTTATTAACTTAATAAAAAGCTTACTGAAAGAAGGAGATAAGAGCCTGGACTCAGATATTAAGGGAGTATTTTTCCCTGCAAATAAATAAATGAACAAATGCTAATACTTAATATGAAAAATAGCGTGAAGCCTTATTCCGAAATGTTTAAAAGTAAACATGAAGTATTCATAGCAGAGATTTCTGAAATTTAGGGCTGGGGCTTTCGGAAGCTCAGTAGTGTAGGCCTTCCCTAGCTCCGCGTCAAGGAACTGGAGGCCACGATGGATTATGAGATGATATTAGAGGAAGGCATGGTCTGGGAGCTTGCAGGCGGCAGTGGGATAGATGTCACTTCTTGAAACATATGTTCCTGAAAAAATTAATCTTTTCTCATCACAGTTACTAAAACTATCTTTCATGTGGATGAATACATAATTTGGATGAGTGAAGTAGCACTAACAAGCACTAACAGTTTTGATGCTAAAGAGAATAAGCTCTAAGGTCTCTTTGTAGCCTTTTGTTTGTTTGTTTTTTTGAGTCTCGCTCTGTTGCCCAGATCGGAGTGCAGTGGCATGATCTTGGCTTCTCCATCTCTCGGGTTCAAGTGATTCTCCTGCCTCAGCCTCCTCAGTAACTGGGATTACGGGTGCATGCAAGCACGCCTGCTAATTTTTGTATTTTTACACAGGGTTTCACCATGTTGGCCAGGCTGGCCTCCAACTCCTGACCTCAGGTGATCCACCCGCTTCAGCCTTCTGAAGTGCTGGGATTACAGGCATGAACCACCACGCCCAGGCCCATTGACCCTTTTTTTGATCCCCTTATGCTTTCATGTATGAGAGTTGAATGCGGGCAGAAGTGGGACAGATGCAGAAGGAAAATGACAGATTTTCTTCTGTTTCTAAGCTTATGTGTCTATTTTAAAAGCTTGAAGTAATCCAATGCTTGATGTTTAAAATTGTGATTATGACAGCTAGATAGTATTGTAAATTTGAAAGACCCACCTTATCTAGCAGTGAATTTGACAATTTGGTTCATACCCTTTTTTTCCAGTTCTGTCCTCTTTAAAGTTAAGTACCTTACTAATTAACTCGTTGTTGAAGTTACTGTTTGACAAAATGACAAAATCATGTTTTCTTTTTATAGTAGGAAAACCTGAAACGTGGGAAGATGACCGTAAAGCGGTCTTAGTTTAACTGCCTGTATGGATTAATTTATTTGATTATTCCACAACTGTCTGTATCTCCAAAGTAACACCCTCCCTCCCTCCTTTCTGTGTGTAGGATCAACCAATGGGAGGCTGGGAGATGATCAGAAAAATTGGAGACACATCAGTCAGTTACAAATATACCTCAAGATATGTGCTGAAGGCAGGCCAGACTGTTACAGTAAGTGAATCTAGTTATCATTTAATTTAACTTCATTGTGTTAACAAAGTAACTCAAAAAGTTTTTTGGCTAAAAGAGAAACATTTTAGAAATGGCCATTAAAGCACTTTTTATATTATTAGGTCATTACAAGTGCTATAAAAGATTTTTAAAATTCTGTCTTACTGAGAGTAGTGAAGAATTGACCTTTGAATTATTTTTATCTTGTCTGTTCCAGGAGATATAAAAGCTATCTCTTGACTGATAGTTGTAGCCCAGTGTCATTCAGGAGACACTGCTTGGCATAAAGAACTGTTAAGAATCTAGCATTAACGTATGTCTATAACAGCAATCTCCAGCCTTGGGTGAGCTTCAAAATCATCTGGGTAGTATTTTGGTGTTCAGGCCCTACTTCACCCTTAGCTATCTTTGGGGTTGGGGTAGGAACGTAGGTTTTGAATAAAAGTCCTTAGATTATAGGCACCCTTGTAAATTATCACTAAGTGGCATTCTGAGTCTTGATTTCTAATTGGTGTGTTCTGAAATACTGCATCCTTAATAGTTACTGAAATGTTAATTAGCTTACTTTTTAGAGAAGTATGTTTCATTGAGTAAACAAAAGATTCTTTTGCTTTTACTTAGTAGATAGATTTAGCTAATGATAAAATATGTTAACTTTGATATAGATTTCAAAGAAGTCACTCTTTTCGTCCTAAAAGAATGTAGAGGTGACTGTCTCTTTCTTTTTATATATTCTTCTTTAAAAAATATTAAACATGTGTTTTAAATGTGTTTAAAATTTTATGTTGATACATACCTTACTATTGACGATCAAAGGCTCAGACTTCTCTTTCAAAAGGTATGTTCGGAGAGCATGATGCCACTTTGTGAAAATATCAGATGCTAATTTGTTAATAATGGGTAAAAATAGGATCAACTATCCTAACTACAATATCCTTTCATCTCTTTAGTAATCACTATAGTGAGAGAAAATTGCTCAGTCCTATTATATGTCTTACAGAAGTTGTATACTGTGGTAAAAAGAATCTGACATTTTAGTTCAGAGGATTCAGAATTGAGTGTGCTCTCTATCTCAAAAGTAATAATATGGAAGCCTTATGCCAATCATCTACTTTTTCTACTGGGTATACTACCTCAGGGACTAAATACATGGATTCTAGAGGTCTAGTGGAGAACTCAATTATCATATAAAATAATGTGATACTTTTTTTCTTCAGCAACTGGTATTAAATGTGATAAGCAGCTCTTTGGAACATGGTAGTGCTAAGTGGTCGTTCTGTAAAATTGCAGAGGCAAAAGCAAAGATCAGTTTAAAATTCTAGAATAGAAATATGAGAACCACATGTGTAATTTTAAATTTTCTTATAGCCACATTATAGTAAAGACATGAATTTTAGAACTATATTTTATTAAACCCAATATATCCAAAAT